ACTTGTTGAGTAATACTTAAACAATAATGGCAAGTGTTTAAAATAAGGCACGAATTCTTCCAATCCATTGAAGTCATTCCTTTTCTTTCTTCGCGTACTTGTTCTTCTAAAAACCCTGCATACTTAACTAAATATTTTCCAACCAATTCACATAAATCTACCAAAAGTTTTCCTTTACCTAATTTGCTGAATTGGGCAACGAGTTCTTTGTAGGCAATAAAAAGGGCCGTTGACGAGGACAATACACTTTGATTGGTTTCGTCCGATAATAACGGAGCTAACTTTAATTTCATTAACAAGTCATTCAGGTTTTTATCTTCTGCTTCAATGTATACAGACATTTGTCCTTCAAAAGCACTTGAAATAACAGAGAATTCAGTGGAAATGGTAGGAAAGCGAGATACCACGGCTGTTTCAAACTCAATACAAGTTTTTAAGGTTCGTAAGAGTAGTTTAGCATCTTTTACCGCTGGTGCCACTTCTAATAATCCTGACTTTGTCTCTTCACCAAATTTCACACACACTAGATAATCCATGTTCCAATGACTTGGGAAAACTGCTTTATGTTCTTCATCGTACATTTTAAGAAACCGTTTCAACCAAGAGAATCGGCGATGAACATGAAGTAGCGAGGCTAGCTATAAAATGAAAAAATCAATCCACCAATCAATACCACCATCCTTACACACGTACACTACATAAATATGTAAATTACTTAAAAAATGAAACGGTAAACGAATAAGAGTAAAATTCGTTAACTCTTATGAAAAGTATAAGATGAAAACAAGGTTTACCTCTTCTTTCGAATTGAATATTGTTCTGTATTCTCTGAGAACAAGTGAAATATACCAATCTTGAAGTTGTTGTCTAAAAGAGTAACCCATAGATAAAAATGTATAAAAAATATTAGCCAGAGAGAAAAAGACTAAGAAAATAAATAAATAGATAGGATATAAAAATGAAGATTTTTCAAGATGACTTAAAAAGAGGAATACAGCACTTTGCATTGATGTCAACGTTTTCAAGTACCATACAAGCTTCCGAAAGTTGCTGCGCGTTTATTGAAGGTTGTAATTGACCATTGGTAGTAAAAGAAGTATCAAAGAGTTCCAAAATTTGTTTTCTTAATTCGGATTGTATCAAATGCAGATTGTTTAAAAGTTCTACAACCTTTGGAATATTCCTGTAAGCTTTGAAATGGGTTTCCAACTGAGATAGAACCTACACAATAAAAAGTCGAAATAGAATTGAAGATAAATTAAAATAGATTGAAGGAAGTAAGATATTTAAAAAAAAAAAAAAAAAAAAAAAACTACTTACTTTAAATAGAAGGGCCACTTGTTTATACTGCTTTTGAAATGCATTGGACTTTAATTGAGTCATAGCCGTGTTAAACATAGCCAAACGTCGTGATATGGTAATAGAATGAATCAAGTTTTTCTTTGCTAAATCTAATGACTTAATATCGTGTGTCATATTTTGAACCACTTGTTCTGCATCCATGCTTTTTTCTTTGATACTTACAATGCTCAAGCATAGATCCTAAATTGTATAGAGCAGGTGACGAAAAAAAAAAAAAAAAAAAAAAGGTCAAACGCCATACAAGCTGAGTAAATAAGGAAGTTTTGTTTTCATATAAAGTAAAGACCAAGTACTTGCATCGCTTTGGTAACTTTTTCTAGTTCTTCGGTATTGTTTTTACTTTTAGTAGTTTGCTGAAGTAAATGCTTCTCGATTTGTTCATCAAAAAATTGTATTTTTGTTTTAAACTTGTGAAGAATAGAGTCCGCAGTGGACAAAGACTGTTCTGAGAAAATAAATAATCAAATAATAATTTTAGGAAAAAAAAAAAAAAAAAACGAGGGTCAAAAACAAACTCACTCATTATTCTAAGTAACACTGCTGAATGAGGATTAGAAAAAACTACCATGTTGCCGAGAAAAAGAGGGACTTGAAAGGAAGGTTGAGAAAACAGAAAGAAGAAAACAACAAGTACCGTTTGGAAACAATTGGTTAATGTAACTGATGACATCAAATGCTTTTGCGTCGAGTGGGTGAGTAGTGGTGGTAGTTGAAGCAGTCCATTTGGTATTAGTGTTTTCAGAATTTTTTGCTTTAAGAAATGAAAGATCAGTAGGAATTAATTTTGACGAGGAATTCATTGAGTTTAGCAAAAGTAGGTAGTGTTAAGAAAGAAAGGAAAAAGAAGAACGGTTTGAATGGAATTTTTTATTTTATTTTATTTTATTTTATTTTTAGTTTTAATTTTAAATCAAAAAAAAAAAGGAATTGAACAAAAGTAACGAAAGGATGGAGGGAATGAAAGGAGAGGAAAAAAAAGGAGAGAAATTCAAGGAAAAAAAAGCGAAAACGAAAAACTTTCTATTTTTTTTTAATATGGTTTTTACTTTCTGCCTCACATGGTTTTTATTTTTTATTTTTTTATATTTAGATTTGTGAATTCTTTTTAAATTTTTACAAATGACGCGTTTTTAAAATTTAAAAAAAAAAAAAAGAATTATGAACACTAACCGCTTTTATTTTTGAAATGAATTAAATTTACATTTACCAAAAAAAAAAAACACCCTTTTTTTGATAAATTCAATTACTGTATCAAATGGAATGAGTAGGGATAGTAGAAACCATGGATTTTACTTTTTCATATAGGATTGGATATTACTTGACTTGACTTTACCTTTTTTTTAATTTTTAATTTTTAAACTGCTTAAAAAAATTTTAAAATTTAAACAAAAAAAAAAAAAAAATGTTCTCATCGTTTTATCGTTCTCTCTTTTGAAAATCAATCTCAATTCTTGAATGGGGTGTTCTTCCCTTTTTGGCTCATCCACTAAAGAATTAGATATATAAATAACATTTTACTATGTTTTATTGTAAGCCGCATTACTATTTTAGTATAGTTTAATAGAGCTTTGATTTCAAGTATTTTCTTAGAGTGGATAATATTTTTTATTTGAATTTTTTTTTATTTTTACAAAAAAAAATGCAAACAGTTTTATTTCTATCTATATCTATATGTAAATAGATTCAGATATTACTCACCCATCGATTAGCAACGTTAAGCCAAAGAAACAAAGCCGTCAACTTGAAGCCTCAAAGCAACTAACAGTATCGCTACTAAGTATTGTTGATTTCATTTTCTTTTCTTTAGAGTTTTTTCATTTTTCATTTTTATTATTTATTTTTTTTGGTTATCGTTTTTTTTATTTCTTCTTGACTTCATTTTAAGTTTTACTTCTTTTTCTATTGTTTTTTTTAAATTAAAACCCTTTTTCCCTTTTAACAAGAAGAAAAAAAAAAAAAAAGTTGAATTTCTTTTGGTATTTCTTCTTCTTTATTTTGTCTATTTTGTCTCTTTTCTCTTTTTGGTGGAACGAAATAAAAACATTTGTTTAACAATTTTAGCCAAAATCATTGCTTTCTCCATTTCTGGTTTAACGATGTTGACGAGGAAAACATTAATAGCACAGTTTGTGTGCTGTTCTATGTGTTTTATTGCGATTCTATTTACTTTTTCAAATGGTGCTTATGTTCATATGGATGACCCTTCTATGCCTACGGTAGGTAGACCTTTTTTTTTTTTTTTTTTTTTTTTGGAATACCTCATTTTCGAAAAACCATTCATTTTATTAAAAATCTGTTTTCCAAGGAGTTGGTAAAATCTCAAATTATGAGGAATTTCTTCAGTTTTAAGGGTTCGTTTCCCCTTAAATCTTACTCCCACTTTTCTCTTTTCCTTTTTTTTTTTTTTAATATATATATTTAGAGAAATGGGAATAATGCTCAAAATTTAAATGTATGTACATTTTTAAAAATTTTAATTTGTTTTTTATTATCTTTGCATTTTTATGGTTTCTATTTCTTTTCATTTTTATTTAATTATTTGTTTTCATTTATGAATACCCAATTAACAGCCTCCTGGTCCTATTATAATCACTTCCACTCCTACGTCTATTCCAGCAGCAACTTTAATTACTTCCGCTTCATCTTCAAGCGACCTTCCTTCTTCAACTTTGTTACAAAAAGCACAGGAAACCCCTCTACCTACCGGAACTAACGAAAATCCAGTTCCTGTAGGTCAATCCCGTATTCTAAATCAAGACCCTTCTCCCACTTCTTATCCTCCCGTCCAAGCCTTGGATGGTGCGGCTCTTGCCTCTCTTCGAAATTCTACAGTACCTTACATCGCGTTAATGCCTCCGAATCGACCCATGCCAACCGTAGTCCCTTCTGCAAAGAACCTCCCTGAAGAGGAAGATCTAACGTCCGAATCATCCAAAGCGAAGGACGATAAGAAAGGGAAGGCAGATTGTGCCAAAGATTCTAAAAAGAAAAAAAAATGTTAAGTCTGTGACTTCCTTAAAAAAAAGATAGGTGTAACTTCAAAAAAAAAAAAAAAAAAAAAAAAAATGGAAAGCATAATTTTGGAAGCAATGTACCTTTGCAATGTTTTGATTTTGGATTTCACTTCTACTCTTTTTTTTTTTTTTTTTTTTTTTAATTTTTTTTTAAAGTTCCATTCCATTCAACTTTTTGGGAAAAATTAGTGCTTCGGATACTAATCATTGTCACTAACATTCATTTCATTATGCAGAAATTTCTGTGACTGTAATTATTTTTTTGAAAAAAAATGTTTTTTAATAAAACAATATATAAAAGGAATGTTTGTTTGTGTGGTTTAGCCTTCCAGATGTAATTTGCAATAAACATGAATCTTTTTACAATGTTGAACCGCGTCCCAAAAAAAATTTGATTCTGTGAACAAAAAGGAATTGCATTAAAAATTGAAAGTCGAAATTTTAATGGAGGTGAATTCACAGGGTTAAAAATATCTTATTGCTTTTTTTCAAAAAGGATTTTAATCGTGGATTGAAATAAAAAAAATTGAAATTTTTAACATTTTTCAAGGTCAAAATGTTAAAAAATGTAAATAAAAAAATATAAAATACCTTCGAAAAAAAAAAAAAGGCCTAAAAGAAACACACCCTCTGTGGGGCTCGAACCCACGACATTTCGGTTAAAAGCCGAACACTCTACCGACTGAGTTAAGAGGGCTTACGGCTTGAGCGGGTGTATTACGTTAATAATACTTAATATCAAGTTTTTTTTAATGCAGAGAATATTTTGTTGTAATTTAATTTTGCAAAGTTTTTTTTTTATTACTCACCCTTTCCTTTTTTTCCCCTTCTTTTTTTTTTAAAAAATAAAATCCTGTATCATAACAGAAAAGCTAGGGATATTGAGTTAAAGAAACTAAAAAAAAATGAAAATATAGGAATTAAAATATAAAAAAAAATGGTTTTTCCATGTCCCTTTTTCTCCCAGTACACCATTCTTCATATCTTTTTCGCTTCCTATTTTTTTTCAACTTCCTTATATGAAAATGAGATTACCATACCCTTTTCAAAGTTAGTTCGGAATTTTTTTTTATTTTCTTTATTTATTGAACTCAGAATAAAAATTCAATTATACAAAAAACAAGAGCAATCAAAATATTTATAATTAAAATAAAAATCATTTTAAATGGAAAATGTGAAATAGGAAAAAAAAAGAAAAAAAGAAAGCACTCATAATTTATTTTCATGCTATTACAAAAGTCATATATCCAACATTCATTCATTAAAGATGTAATAAGACAAGGGTGAAAGAATTGGATTGCTACAGAGAAAAAAAAGAGAAAGAGAAAGAGAGAGAGAGAAAAAGGATTTGGATAAATACAAAAACCTTTAAAATTTTGAAAATGTATGAAAATCTTTTTCCATAGAAAGATTTGCTAAAACAGTTCCAAAATAGAGAAAAAAAAAAATAAAGGAATTCAAATTTGACATGTGTTATCTAATAGACGCATAGAATAACAAAAAAAGAATATGTAAAAGGAGAAAAACTAAAATAGAAAAAATCTTAAGCTATAAACTTAAAACTAGAAAAACAGTCAATATATATATATATGTATAAATAGAGTTGGAGAAAAAAAAAAAAAAAAAAAAAAAAAAAGTTGTGATTGAAGCGAGTTAAATAGCACATTAATATCGACCATGATTTGAATATTGATTCTGGTACCCTCCACCATACCCACCAGTACGGCCAGCACCACCCCCTCCGCGACCATATTGACTACCACCACGACCACCAAAACGAGAACCACCACGCGAACCACCTCCGTAATTTCCTCCTGATCGAGCATACCCACGTAGCTCCTAAACACACATACAACGACAAGAAAGAATTAAAAGTGAGAAATTAAATGAGAAATTGAAGTTTAGTCCCACTTAAAAAAAGTAATAAATAAAAAGTATGTAAATACAAACCATTAAGGAAGGAGGAATGGGCTGTTGAGCCTTTTGAAGTAGTAAAATAAGTTCATTGGTAAGTTTTGAGTTCGAAGCTGTGAAAAACGTAAATGAGGTACCGTAAGTACTAAAGATTTAAAAATGAAAAAACTCTAAAGAAAAAAAAAAAAAAAAAAAAAAAAGGTTAGAAAAGACTTAAACAATGAAAGAAATAATTTCGTATTACAAGATATATATATATATAAATAAAAAAATACCCAGCACGGCCAGTACGACCAATGCGATGAACGTAATCTTCGATGTTTCCAGGCATATCAAAATTAATCACATATTTGACATCTTTCACATCTAAAAGGGCAAATTAAAATATTAAAAACAGTATGATTAGATTACTAAATATAAAAATAACGATGAACAAAGTGGAAGGTATTTAAGAAAAGAATGCAAAAAATTTTCTTGCTTTCCAGTTTCTCTTTTACCAAATTTGGATCTTTACCCAATATGCTTATGTAAATACATTACACAGAGTGACTGAGGAAAAATCCAAAATAAACAAATCAAATGAAAAAAAAAGAAGAAGAAGCAGAATCCAAAGTGAGGGTAAAGTCGAAAATCAAGGGCAAAAAAAAAAAGAAAAAAAACAGCAGACAAACAACGAACGGAAGGTAAAGCATGATGAACACGATGAATTGAAAGAAAAAGAAAAAAAAAAAAGTAAACGGAAAAGCTCGAAAAATCAAACAAAATGAAATAAAAGAAATAGAGCTTACCTTTTATTTCACTTTCACTTGTTTTTCTTTTTTTTCTTTCCATGGCTCTTCCTTTTCCTTTTTTCCTTTTTTTTTTTTTTTAATGTACAATACACGCGCGCCTTTCCGTTCACTCTGCCCTTCAATCAAAATTTAAAAAAAAGCAACAACGCGCAAATAAAAGAAAAGGAACGGAGAAGGAGGGAGGGGAAGTTCAGGAACAACACAAACAAAGTCAGGGTTTCCACTATTTTCCAAAATAACGAAGTGGATGTGAAAAGGAAAACACCCAAAAATCAAGATCCGAAGTGTAAAAAATAAAGAATAGTGGCCGAAGAAGTCATATCAATCAATGATTAAGGGAGACTAATGTTTTCCTACTTCTAGTCACTTCTATTCCCTTTTTTCCACTAGAAAAAGATTTAATCATTTCCTTTCTTTCTTGATAGAATTAATAGACTTGCTATACCTGCCCTTGACTGCGATTCTTTTTTAACTTTTTTTTTTTGGTTAACCAAAGAAAAAAGAAGAATCGAGTTTCATTTATAAATATATATAAATATATATATATAGATATGTGGGTTCCCATCTCCATTCTCCGTAACGTTACCTTCTTTCGAATTTCATCACTTGGTTTCCACTAAGAGATGCAATAGACATGAGCCCCAACATGTCCTCCATGCACATCAGGAAAAGTGAAGAAAAAAAGCAGGGTAAAGTAGAGTTAAAGTAAAAATAAAAAAACTAAATAGAATAAAACAAAGGTCATTGCTGATGAAAATGGAGTGGAGCCTTTTTTAGTCAATTGTACTGAATGTCAGAGAAAATCATCTTTATAGAAAAACATTCCCACGACTTCTTTTCCACTTCTAAAGTTGAAAAGCGTTTAAAACAACGGTAATGTTTTTTTTTGTTAAAAAAAAAAGAAAAAAAGAAAAAAAGAAAAAAGAAAAAGAGAGAGAGAAAAGGACATAGTTGTTCTTCAAATTTACATGAAGAAAGACATCACTAGAGACGAAGCAACTTGGGGTTGTAATGGTGATAAAACAATCGTAAAAATGAGCTTGTAGATAAGTCTAACATCCACTTGAAGGAGCCAGCTTCACTCGTTTTCTTAGTGAAAAAAAAGAAGTACACCTGCCTCGTCCGCATTTCGAGGAGAGAGCATATAGAAGGAAATAGTCCTTTAAATGCCACGTTTTGAGACATGTAAGTGTTTCCAAACAACTAAAAGTCCTGTACCTGTTTCTCTCTTTCTTTCTTTTCCTTTCTCTTTTCCAAAAAAAATAAATAAATAATACGTTAAGGTTGTTCATAAACATAGCAATGACCTTTCCTTCATTCAGGATCACACCCCAGAAAAAATATGGAATTCACCATGGATATAAGACGACTCCAAAAAGGTCAAATGAAAAAAGGTGAAGAAAGAGAGGGAAAAAAAAAAAAAAAAAAAAAAAAAAAAGGGAGATAAAGTAAAGGAATCATTAATTTTAATAAACGAAAAATGTAAGGAAAGAAAAAAGTTGGTACCCAAGCCACGAGCAGCTACATCTGTAGCTACCATGATAGGTATTTTTCCAGATCGAAATCCTTTGATGACCATATCTCTTTCAGATTGAACTTTATCACCGTGAATTGCTTCGGCGGCAAATCCTTGACTACGAAGGTCTCTAGTCAATTCATCGGTCATGCGTTTGGTGGCGGTAAAGATCAGTGTTTTACTATTTTTTTCAATACTTCCATGTAATAAATCAAACAATTTTGTTTTCTTTTCATAATCTGTAGTAATTTCAATAATTTGTTTGACACGGTCGTTGGCTGATAAGTCTAAAGATCCTATACGTACTTCAATAGGCTGGGTTAAGAAATCACTAGCTAATTTTTGCACTTCTTTAGGCCAAGTAGCTGACCACATTAATGTTTGCCGATCAGGTCGAATTTGATCCACAATTTTTCGAATTTGTGGTTCAAATCCCATGTCCAACATTCGATCTGCTTCATCTAATACTAAATACGTAACACGTTTTAAATTGGTTTTACCCGCTTCTAACAAATCAATCAATCGACCAGGAGTAGCAATGCAAATTTCTACACCATACGTCAAGTCACGAATTTGAGGACCTTTTGGTGCTCCGCCGTATAAACAAGTATTTTTTAATCTTGAGGAAGTACCAAATTTCGAGCATTCTTGTTGAATTTGAACTGCTAATTCTCTAGTAGGAGCTAACACCAACACTATTGGACCATCACCTTGCTTTAACATGGGTTGCGCATTAATATGAACAATGGCAGGTAATAAGTAGGACAGGGTTTTACCTGATCCTGTTTCAGCAATTCCCACAACATTACGACCCGAAAGAGCCATAGGCCAACCTTGACACTGAATAGGAGTAGGACTTGAAAATCCAGCTGCAGCAATTTCATTTAAAACGTACTCTAAAAAAATGTACCATTTGAAGTAGAAGAAAAAAACAAAGAAACAAGAATTAAAATTAATATATA